GCTCGTTGGGGGCTGCTTAATAAATGATTTACGAGCGAGACCGTTACGGCAACACTACCGCAGAGTGGTGGTTCTTCCGCAGCATATTCTTCTCCGTTTGCTCTCTTTCTCTCTCTCTCTCTCCCGGTGTGTTTCATCCCTTGGGTGTGCATTTCTGCTCGATAAGAGATACAACGTCCATCCGTTCTCGTTGCATTTTGCCGTTGTCGCATTCCCCCCTCCTCCCCTCCTCCCGGGCAGCCATTATTTTCCAAACAGCAGACAGTTGCGCAGATTTTCTCAGTGGTTTTGACATGTGTCTTTCGGGGAATCACTGGGATGGCTCGACGCGTGCTGCTAACAGAGGTTGTTACACGTCACATATTTTCTGTAAAATTGAAACAAACGACTCTTGTCCCGTCGCCGACAGACGAGAGTAATTCTTAAAGCACGCGAGCGGACGGAACATTGGAGCCCAGCAAGTTAGACGAATAAAATCTGAATCGTTTGCTAGCGGATGATGAGAATTGCATTTTACGTTTGAAATAAAATAAATTTTCTCTTGAATGAACGAGAGATATTGGGCATCACGCAAATTAGAATGTTATTATAACGATACGACGCACCATTCATTAAAATAATTGATACCCGAAAATTCAATTTCAATTTACTTAAAACGAGCAATATAATCAAGTTGCAAGCTCAAAATGGAAAACGGGTTAATTAATATTCATTAATAGTTAACTATAATAATTCCATATTTTACGGCAATTGACAAGATAATAGCAAATGTCAAAATTCATCACGCAGTATAAAGTACGTCGCCTCGTGCAGGTCTTCGTGCACGATTTGTTGCCGTGCGAGACAACGAGTCTCGATCACCTCGCGGGACAATGGACATTTTTATTCAGCTAGCGTTTCCCAGCTAGTATTTCGATTTTGCAGAACTTATTCATTTGTACGGCTGCTTTGTGCCCCGGCAAGATACGGCAGCCGGTTATGTTATATAAAATATGATTGACTCGCACTGGTTGAATAACTGGATACAATAATGCATAACGAAATCAATAATCGTCCGGACATCGCGCTTTGCCGTTGATAATTTTGAGAGCCGCCCTTTGTGCCACTGTGTGCTACTGCGTGTACTACTATTTTGGAAATTTAATATCTCGAAAACAATGACCCCTAACGGCTACCCGGAAACTTTATTTATACTTTATGTCACTATTTACATTTTCACAATATACTCCGCGATTTCCACATATTTGGAAAACGCATCTGACAATTATTATTATTATTATTACGCCGTTATGTTTATTGAAAAAAAATCGCCTCTTTGATTGAAAAGGATTTTGATTAAAATTCAATTTAAGTGTATAATTCAAAATTATTTTAAATATTTATACAAATGCAAATTCAAGAAGCATCTCCCTTTTACCCGTAACAGTTACTTGTAGTACAGATTGGAGAAGCGAGTTTCTTTCCGAGTTATTTTTACGTGCGTTCTATTTCACATTAAATATTTAATTATCTCTCTCGTTAACGTCGTTAAGGTCGCTCGCTGAGAAAAAGCGATATCGAACGATATCAATGGACGCGCTAAGACGTTTCCGACTTCGTAACAACGTCTCGCAAACTCGCGCGCTTATCGCCCACGCGATAATCCACCTGCGCCACTTGACATTTCCAGTTGTTGTTGTTGTACACTGGAAATTGTATAAGACGCGCTCTGCGACATCGAGAACACGATTGCGCGACGTGCGTAAATCGCTGTTGATCCCGCCGAAGTCGCAGACGATCGACGATCGCAGACTCGAAAGGGGGGGATTAAAGGGCGGCGATTAAAGGGTGGATTACGCCGTAGAGGACAAATTTGACGGCGCGTTCGCGAAGGCCTTCTTCCAGAACATTGGCTCCGGCTTTCCTCGACAAAGTCCCACTAAATTCGCCGTCAAGGGATCGATACTCTTTTCCCAGCGATGCACAAACTTTCCCGTCGGCGAGAGAGATATTAAGAAGAAACGGACGACATTGCTCGTACACACACTTCTCTCTACGGTGGACGGGGGGGGGAGGGAGGGGTGACAGATGAAATTGCCACCAAGGCATCGTAGTATCATATGTAATGTGAGGCACTCGTACTAAATATTGATTTTTCTTTTACTCTCCCGAGTACCCCGTGAAAAATATCTTTTTCCCGCGGAAAATACGTTTTTACGTTAAGTTTTTCGCAAAATGTAACATGTCGGCATTCTGGATATTTCCATCGTTAAAAATGAAATTATAGTTATAGGATAATTGAATACGATGGCGAATATATATCATTTATCGGAAATTAATTTCCAGAGAGGCTAATTAAGCGAGGGACCGCATTAAAGTCAAAAGAAAATATGATCGTTGCTATAATTATCTCTCGATAATATAACAATAAATCGCTGTTAATGTTTCTTATTAAAACGGGAAATAAATGAAAACAGCAGTCGGACCGGCCGCGCGATGGCTCTCGGCGTTTCAACGTCGTCCGTTGTTGAAACAGCGTGAATTTTTCCAAAGCGTTCATTAAACAATCACGCCATCGGGGGGGACGTCGCGATGTCGCGTACGCAGAAGTATTCTCGAGGTAGTCTCGCGGGCAATAGGACGATATTTTCACGTCGACGTGGACGTATATAAAATGGCAGCGCGGCGCGAACTGGCAAGAAGCCTCGAGTGCGAGATAAACAGGCTGCTTTTATTTCCGTCGGCCGGCTTTTATGTTCGGTCGGCGCAGTCTTTTCGCGCATTTAGTTTCCGCCACTAACCAAATTACGACCACCGGGGACGGTGGACGAGCGGCAGCAGAAATTGAGGGTTACCTCGGCGAGAGGTAAATTTCGCCGCATCACCTTGTGTACCGCGTAATTGAGGGATTATCCTCCGTAAACACACGTGATTGACTAATTTTCATTATCTCGATCGGTACGCACGAGTGCGCGAGCGCCAATCTGTAATCTCGATGATTATTCGGAGCTTATGTATAAAGGGCGAAAGGGCGTTTTCTTGTTTACTTTCAGGTCAAACATCGTACTTATAAATTTTCATTTAGCAATACGCGTCGTGAAACTTTGTTTCACGCGGTATTACCATAACCAAACGAACATACACACACAACGAATATACACAATACACGATACACAATCGCGAGTAATGAAAGTCAGTAATGAAACAAAAATGCGACGCGCTGTAAATATCTTGAAATAAAAAATATATAAATATAAATGGTATTGTAAATCGATATTGTGTAATATAATATTTTCAATCTTTAAATAAGATCGGGTGAAATTCTTCGGCAGGAAATACGTTCAACACATTTTTTAATAAAATTAAAAGAGCAATAGGTGAAAAAAGGTAAAACTTAAATTTACGTAACTTTGTGAAAAATGGTCGTAAAGTAACGTTCAGAGGCTGAAGCTTCAGCTTTTAAATTCCTCCAAGTTTTTTTCTCGACGGCGCTTCTGCTTCAAGTGACCTCATTTTTGCGATTCCAAATGATCCTTTAATTTTGAGGAGTGCATTATTTAACGCGAGAAATAAAATATTCTCCTATCGCGAGTGACACTGAAATTAAAAATTTTAAGATAACAGTAAATTGATTTCTTATTGAATAACGCCAAACGAGGGGATTAACTAGATTATTTAATTCTCTAGAGGGTTAAGTGACTGCGGGATGAAGTGATGGGATCAACTGGACAATGCACAAGGTCCATTTTAGTATAATTTATGTTAAGAGATGGATTATCTACACATAGTATCTCCTCCCGTGCAATTTATATTCCACGCTGAATTAATTAAGAGACGATTTTAAAGAGATGGTATTTTTTTTTTTAAGTAATTTTCCCCGTGTCGTATATGTAAATTACAAAGTATAGATACATCCTCTCGCACCCCTTCGTTCTCATGAATAAACCGCCATTGTTATATACCTTGCGTCTATTTCTGAAGTTTAATAACGGCAGAGTCATTTGGATCGGAAGAGTGAATTTATACGGATGGAAAATGAGATCGTTGTGAGCGGTATCCGCGCTTTCGAAGATCAATTTGACTTTGCGGTTTAGGTAAAGCCAAAGGAAAGAAACGTTTCGCAATATGGCCATCGC